CTGGGAACTCCCTGCAGACACAGGATGGATCCTTTTCCCAGGGGAAGTATCCCTCCATCCTGGCTCAGGTCAAGACCACTCCCCTTTGAGATTGCTCATAAATTCTGAGGATTCTGGAGGAATGAGGTCTACATAAGTGAAGTCAGGCATTCACGTTCACATAGTGTCTAGTGCTGCATTTGTTTATCTGTTGACCCTCCATTTCTGTGACCCCTCCCTTTGCCCCCCACAAAGACAGATAAATGAACAAACGACAAAAAGAAAACAGAAACAGCAAACAAGGAAAAAAACTCTTTTCCATTTCCTGGAGCTCCTTTGGATAAATACATGGCTTTACATCATAAATATTTTATTGGAACCAAAGGCACTGTGCCTTCGTGTTCCTCCCCTCACACTTGAAGTTTTAGTTTAGTTAATGGCCTGATTTTGACTTTTTTTTTTTTTTTGGTCAGTCATGGGGCTTGAACTCTGGGCCTGGGCGCCGTTCCCTCGGTTCTTCAGACAAGCACTCTACCACTTGAGCCACAGCGCCACTTCTGGTTTTCTGGTGATCTATTAGAGATAAGAGTCTCATGGACTTTCCTGCCTGGGCTGGCTTTGAACCTCGATACTCAGATTTCAGCCTCCTTAGTAGCATGAGCCACGGGTACCCAGCTTTCTTTGACTTTTCTAGGGGATGGGATTGAACCCAGGTATTGAGAACCAGTCAAGCATTTTATCACTGAGCCACTTTCCCAGCCCTTTTTATTATTTATTTACTTATTTAACCAGTCCTGGATCTTCAACTCAGGGCCTGGCCACTGTCCTTGAGCTCTTTTGCTCAAGGCTAGCACTCTGCCACTTTGAGCCACAGCACCACTTCTGGTCTTCTAGTGGTTAACTGAAGATAAGAGTCTCATAGACTTTGTTGCCTGAGCTGGCTTTGATCTATGATCCTTAGACCTCAGCCTCCTGAGTAGCTAGGATTTTAGGTGTGAGCCACCGGCACAGCTTCTCTGAGCTTTTTTGTATAAGGCTAGCACTTTACCTCTTGAGCCACACTTCCACTTCCAGCTTTTTTGCTGGTTGATTGGAGATAAATCTCACAGACTTTCCTGCCCAAGCTGTCTTTGTGACCCTTCAGATCTCTGCCTCCTGAGTAACTAACAGGTGTGAGCCACTGGCATACACAACCTGAGCTACTTTAAAGCTTTAATTAAGTGCCCAGCCTCAGGTATTTTATTATAGCAATGGAAAATTAATACACCAAGTAATCCTAACATCTGCTGCTCCCTTCCCACCCACCCCCAACTTCTCCAGCCACACCCAAGTAATTCTTATACTTTTTCTTTGTCAGTTGTGGGGCTTGAACTCTTGGCCTGGGCCTTGAACTCTTGGCCTGGGCACTGCCCTTCAGCTCTTTTGTTTAAGACCAATGCTCTACCATTTGACCTACTGCGCCACTTCCCGTTTTCTGGTGGTTTATTGGAGGTATGAGTTTCACGGACTTTCCTGCCCGGGCTGGCTTTGAACCTCGATCCTCAGATATCAGCCTCCCGAGTAGCTAGGATTACGAGCGTGAGCCACCATTGCCTGGCGCCCATCCGCTTTTGTTCAAGGCTAGTGCTCTACCACTTGAGCCACAGCGCCACTTCTGGTTTTCTGGTGGTTAACTGGAGATCAGAGTCTCACAAGCAACCCTCAGATCTCAACCTCCTAAGTAGCTACGATTACAGGTGTGAGCCACCAGCACCCAGCTACACAAACATTTTCAAAGTTACACAAGTATTCTTACATTAACAATGCTGAGATTTCCTTCCTAGAAATCAGAACTTGGGGTGTCTTCTCCCAGATGTTTCTACTGTCAACCTTTGGGGGACAGTATGCTAGCCTAGTAATTGTGGACAAATCCCCAAAATACAGAAAAAAAATTGATCATCAATTCCAAGGAAAACAACTTGTAACAGAACTATAGTCTTCACATCACAGGCAGCTAATCTAACTAATCCTTTTTCCACAGGTGTTTTCCATATCAGCCCTAGCCCAGGGGCAAAGAGTTCAAGAAATAGCTCACAATTCCAAGCAGGGCAAAGGTGGAGCTCTAGCGCCCCCTGGTGTCCACTACAGAGAACAGGCTCGGATAGCTGGCCGTACTCACATCATGCAGCCAAAGCCACCGGGTCAGCTCAGAAAGTAACAAGGGGGCCAGGCACTGGTGGCTCACACCTGTTACCCTGCCTACTCAGGAGGCTGAGATCTGAGGATCAAAGTTCAAAGCCAGCCGAGCAGGAAAGTCTGAGACTTTATCTTCAATGAACCACCAATAAACTGAAAGTGGAACTGAACTGTGGCTTAACATTAGAATGGTAGGGGTAGAACAAAAGAGCTCAGGAAGCCGGGCGCTGGTGGCTCACGCCTGTAATCCTAGCTACTCAGGAGGCTGAGATCTGAGGATCGCGGTTCAAAGCCAGCCCGGGCAGGAGAGACCGTGAGACTCCTATCTCCAATAAACCACCAGAAAACCGGAAGTGGCGCTCTAGCTCAAGTGGTAGAGCGCTCGCCTTGAGCTGAAGAGCTGAGGGACAGCGCCCAGGCCCAGAGTTCAAGCCCCACGGCCGACAAAAAAAAAAAAAAAAGAGCTCAGGAACAATGCCTGTGCCGGAAGTTCAAGTCCTAGTACCGCACCAAAAAAAAAAAAAAAAAAGTAACAACAGGTCCTTCTGTAGGAGAATTGTTACATAAACATCCATCCAAGAGGGGCACCGGTGGCTCATGTGTGTAATCTTAGCTACTCAGGAGGCTGAGAACTGAAGATCATGTTTCAAAGCCAGTCCAAGCAGGAAAGTCTATGAGACTGTTTTTGTTTTTCTTTTTTTTCGGTGGGTTGTGGGGCTTGACCTCTGGGCCTGGGCACTGCCCCTCAACTCTTCAGCTCAAGGTGAGCTCGCTACCAGTTGAGCCACAGCGTCACTTCCGGTTTTCTGGTTGTTCACTGGAGATAAGAATCTCACAAACTTTCCTGCCCAAGCTGGCTTTGAACGATGATCCTCAAATCTCAGCCTCCTGAATAACAAGGATTACAGGCATGAGCCACGGGCGTCAGGCCTGTGACACTGATTTCCAATTAACCCTTAGAAAACCAGAAGTGGCACTGTAGTTGACGTGTTAAAGAGTACTAGCCTTGAGCAAAAGAGCTCAGGAAAAGCACCCAGGTTCAGAGTTCAAGCCCCAGGACAACCAGGAAAAAAATCCATCCAGGCAATGGAATACGTTCAGAAATACAAAGAAATGTCATCTTCTCCCACAGGAAGACATGGAGGAACTTTTTTTGTTGGTTACGGGGCTCTACCACCTGAGTCACCACTCCAGTTAATTAGTCTCATGGACTTTCCTACCCAAGCTGGCTTTGAACCAGGATCCTCAGATCTCAGCCTCCTGAGTAGCTAGGATTATAGGCGTGAACCACGAGGGCCCAGCCAATGGAGGAACTTTAAATAACAATTTGCTAAGTGTGAAAAGCCAATCTGAAATGTCTGTATGATTTCAAAACTCTGATATTTTGGGTCAGGCGACAGTGGCTCACCCTGTAATCCTAGCTATTCAGGAGGCTGTGATCTGAGGACTGTGGCTCCAAGTCAGCCTGGACAGGAGAGTCCATGAAACTATTATCTCCAATTTACCATCAAAAAGCCAGAAGTGGAGCTGACCTTAAGTGGAGCTGTGGTAGATCACTAGGCTCAGGTCCTGAGTTCAAGCCCCAGTATGGGAACACATAAAAACAAAAAACAAAGTTCAATTGCCTGGGATGTGTCCCTGAAAGTGGATTTAACACATCCTAGAATTTGTGTGTGCGTCATTTGGGCTGCATGCATTCCAGCCTGGTTTTTCGGCCTCAGGTGATTTTAAATCCTGATCCTACATAAGTGGCTGGTTGTCATGGGAGTGAGCTGGAGGGAAGGCTGCTTTGGAGCCAGTTCCCACAAGAAGGCCTCAGGTGCTTGGTTCGCAAGCTTAAAGCTTCAGTGTTGAGGTCTGGAGGCCTCTCCTCACACACACAGGTAACTTCCATGGACAGACCTAGTAGGATGAATCTAGCACAGAATCCACGCAGGCTCTCAAGGGCAGCATGGGTCCCCAGGACAACCGAGAAGTGTGCCCTAAGCCCAGACGCGCACTGAGCGACAAAGTCTACAGGAGGGCGTGTCCAAGTTCTATGCAAATTCCAGGCCTTATTTATAAGGGACTTGAGGAACGGCACATTTGGGTGTCTCAGGCTATCCTGGAACCTGGCTTTACTCCATCCCTATACTAGTATTGGGACACGCTTCAGGGCTAACTAGGTGGACCTGCCCCTCCCAGAAGGGGGCTGGAGGTCTTCTCAAAGGGACAACCTCCCTCCCTCCAGGCTCCCTTGACAACCACATAAAGATGCATATGGAAGGGATACACGCTCCCACCATCCACCCGACCTATGCACATGCGTGGGAAATGCATGCATACATTCATGCAATTAAGAGGCCTGCTAGTTTCACTAGAACAGCAAGGCAGGAGTGCCAATTCCTCTTATTAAGGCTCTGGCGCCCTCTGCTGGTCTTCCTAAGCACCACAGAAGGAAGTATTTTCCCACCAAGGGCATACCAGAGGACTTTCAGACTAGCTTAGGAAGTGTAGCTTCTACCTAAATAGGAAGAGCGTTTTGTTTTGTGCCAGCACTAGGGACTAAACTCGGGGCTAAGACACTGACCCCTAGCTTTTCACTCAAAGCTGGCGCTCTAGCACTTGAACCATAGCTGCACTTCTGGGTTTTTCTTGGTGGTTAATTAGATAAGAGTCTTATACTTTCTACCCAGGTTGGTTTTGAATTGCCATCCTCAGACCTCAGCCTCCTGAGCAGCAGGAGGTTTACAGGTGTGAGCTACCAGTGCCCAGCAATGTGGGTGTGTTTCCGTGTGTGAAGTCTAGGTTCCATCCCCAGCAGGCCAAAAACAAAATAACAAAATAGATAGCCATAAAGACAGCTGTTCCATTTCACAGTTTTATTAGCCAGGCAGAAGCTCCCAGATAACACAGGCAGTCTCATCCTAATAGTTTTGCTTGAAGGTTATTATGACCACAACCCAGCCTAAGTGCCACCTACCATCCACTGCTTCTTCCTTTCAGAGTCTCTGATGTACAACACCAACAGAATCCACCATCCATAAAGACTTTCACATCAGGACAAGCCACTTCCAATCACTGGCGCTGCACAGTCAGTAAGATCAGGCTGATGTGCAAAAAAGCCTCTTACAAGCAGTCACACCAATTTTGATTTCTCGTATTTGTTATGGCCTAGCAGAAGCAAGGCCCCTGGGTTCTGGTTCAGTCCCCAGATTTTAAAAAAAAAAAAAAAAATCTGAAACCAGACATGATGGTGCATGCCTGTAATCTAGCTACAAGCAAGGAAGGCTGATGCGGGCAGATCACTTGAGCCCATGAGTTTGAGACCAGCCTAGATGCCACAGAAACCTTACTCTCAAAAAGTCAAATATACACACACACAAAGTATAAAGAAAGTATAAATGGTCTTAGGAGCATTTAGGACTCACCTGACCCAATGTGGTATGTCTGTTGGGGGTCCCATAAGGCCTAAAGATCCAGCCATGGTGATCATGCCCACCTATAATCCTAGCACCTACGAGGTGAATCAGGAGCTGCTCAAGTTCAAAGCCAGCTCAAACAAACATCAAATACAGGTGAAAATGGCAAGGAAACTAGATGTACCTGGTGGGGAACGGAGTTACTTTGATAAAAATGCACTAGGCACATAAACGGGCATGTCAAAATGAAACCTCCATCTGCAAGCACTTGTAGATATAAATCAAGTAAAACAAAATAGGCTCCTGTTGTTTTTGTAAAGCTGAGGATGGAACCTGGGACTTCAGGCACGCCGAATCACATCCCGCCTGAGAGTCGCTCATGTAAGAGGCTCATTATCAGCTACCCTTCCACGCCCTCCATCCTTTGCCCAAGACCAATAAGGCTCTGAAGTAGCTTCAGCTAGCGAGACAAAAGACAGGGGCGGCAGAGGGGATCTGCGCCTAGAACTGATCTGTCTCCTCAGCTTCACCCCTCTGCCCAGCAGGTTGTCAGGGATTCCCCCGGGGCTCACTGGGCCACCTGCGGCAGCACCAGCGAGTCAGCCTCGCTCAGGGCGATCCGGTCCTTTCTCTCCTTCTGCAGCACCTGCTCCTCCCACAGCGCCTGGTCCACCTGGTCGTCGGTGAGCACCACGGCCTGGTATTTCTCGTCGAAGAGCCGCTCGTTGGCCTCGGAGTGCAGATGGTTCCGCCCGACCACGCGCAGGTGGGCGGGCAGGTGGAGGAACTCGTCGTCGTTGACGTCGCAATCGCGCATCCGGGTCCCCAAGATCCACCAGCGCCCGACGAACCCCACATCCAGGATTCGGCCAGGGAAGTCGACCCAGCGGGGCTGCAGGTAGCGGCAGCGGGCTTGGTAGAGGCTAGCCTGAGCGTCGAAGGGCGCCTCGTACACGAGCGAGCACAGGCCCAGGTTCACGTGGCGCAGGCGCCCGCGGCCCCGTAGCCACAGCAACCGCTGCACGAAGGTCTCCGCGTCGCGGTTGCGCGTGGCCGGCGCCAGTAACAGAAGCGACCCCGACGCGTCCAGCAGCGCCTCCTCGAAGGCCTCTTCGCCCGGCGCTAGCGCGCAGCAGGTCGCCGCGCCGCCCAGCAGCCCCGCGTAGAGCGCCGCGCACCCGGGCCGGGCCCGAGCGGCCGCCGCCGCGTCCCGGCACGCCTCCGTATAGTCCCGGAGCAGCGCGCGCGCCCAGGCGCCTGAGGGGAGAGGAGCGCGGTGAGAGCCGCGCGGCGCGGCGCGGCGCCCGGGGAGCCCCCACCGCCGCCCGCCGCCGCCACTCACCCAGCCGGCCCCACACGCGCGGCTTCGCCGCCGCCGGGTCAACCGACGCCGCTCCGTGGCCACGGGACCAAAACCTCCTCACAGCGGTGGCCGCCATGCTCTTCCGGACAGGGAGTCCCGCCTCCGGGGAGAAACGACCCGGTGCCCGGAATAAAAGGCCCGGGTGGCCTCTTCGGCGCAGACGCCAAAACCGCCGGATGTGGAATCCTGCCGGAAGAAAATAGCGAACGGACCGTCGCCGGATGTTGACGGCAAGCGCCGGAGGGCGGGGCTCTGGACGGGTGGGCGGGCCGCGCAAGCGCACGGAGCCCCGGCCACGCCAGCTCAGGTAGCCCAGGTGCGGAAGCTGGGCGCACCCGCGCCTTCGGCCCCCCGCGCGCGTGGCCCGCGCCCTGTGCTGAGAGCGGGATGCGGTGACGCCTCTGAACGACCATGGCAGCGGCTGCTGATCTGGCCTTCCACGGTGAGTGCGGCCCCGAGGTGCCTGGGGCCCCCCCGCCGCCCCGGCCCGAACCGATCCCGCGGCCTCCAGGTCGAGTGTGCCGGGAACCCCCAGAGGCCGCAAACCCTGACCCCAGACCGGAAACAACCCGGGAGCGAGACGCACCTCACCCCCAAAGCCTCCTGTCAGTCACAGCGCGTGGGCCCATCCCAGGAGCACCCCTCAACTGCACATCCACCACAGAAGGGAACAGAGGCCCCCTTTCCCACGCCCCAAAACCAGATGACCATAGAAAGCAGAGTTGTCTCGGCCCCACCTCCACCCCCCCAAAAAAAAAAACCCGCACACACCTGTGCTATTTTCCTCGCCGCTGTAGAATTCGAGGAAGCCACTAATCTTCTGGCCGAGACCCCTGACGCAGTCACCACCAGAAGTGATCAGCTGAGTCCACAGGGGGGTCACGTGACCGTGGCCTTGGGCTCCAGTGGTGGCTACAGAGCCGAGGATGAGCTGGAGGAGGAGGGGGACAAAACAGCGGTAAGCCATCTAGCTCCCCCATGCCCTCCCATGCCCTCCCATGCCCTGTGTCTCGTCCTCCCTCGGCCGAGCTAAAGCTCTAGAGGCCGGATCTCAAAAGTTCCTTGTTGCGCAGCTCCTACAGGAAGAGAAGCCCCCGCCGGGATTCTGGACCTTTGGTTATTATCAGAGCTTCTTTGATGTGGACACCTCTCAGGTGAGGCCCAGGATGCTGCTGGGAGAGGCCCCGAGGGAGTCCCACTTGGGATTCAGCTCCTATTGACATTGCCACGCCTGGGATCGGCACTGGTGGCAGCTACAGAACAAGCTCCTCCTACCCAGGCTGAGAGAAGGAAGTGCTTTTTAGGGTGTGGTGACCTGGGCTAGGGGGGGACACAAGGATACGCACCATCTGGTGTTAGGTAAAGAGAGGGTGGGGAGTGGCAGGCAAGGAGTTTCCCAACCTTCCAGAACAGCATATGCAGAAAACCAAAGCAAGAGGAGGCCTGGACAGTCCAGGAGACTAGCTGCCACTGGTTGGTCAGTGTGAGGTGAGAGCCAGGAAAGTAGAAGCAAGGTCACGAGACCAATCACAATCTTTCTATATATAAATTATATACATATTACACATGTAGATGTACTCATACCAACTACATCACATGTTTATACATACCATGTGCATATACTATTACATATTGCATAGTTTTGTGTATATACAGTATATAAATATGTATATGTAATATATATATATATTTTTTTTTTTTTGGTCTGTCATGGGGTTTGAAGTGAGGGCCTGGGCTTTGTCCCTGAACTTTTTTTGGGGTGGGGGAGTCCGGTCGTGGGGCCTGAACTCTGGGCCTGGGCGCTGTCCCTCGGCTCTTCAGCTCAAGGCTAGCGCTCTACCGCTTGAGCCACAGCGCCACATCCAGCTTTTTTCTTTTTGCTTATGTGGTGCTGAGGAATCGAACCCAGGGCCTCAGGCATGCAAGGCAAGCACTCCACCACTGAGCCACCTTCCCAGCCCTGTCCCTGAACTTTTTTACTCTACCACTTTTGAACCACAGCCCCACATTTCCTTCTCCCTCCTCTGCTCCCCTACTGGTGTTTTATTGGACAGTCTCATGGGCTTCCAACCATCATGATCCTTACACCTCAGCCTCCTCAGTAGCTAGGATTATAGGCATGAGCCATCAGCTCCCAGCTGTGATTTTTTTGGGGGGGAGGGGGGTCAGTGGTGGGGCTTGAACTCTGGACCTGGGCACTGTCCCTGAGCTCTCCAGCTCAAGGAGAGTGCTCTACCACTTGAACCACAGCACCACTTCCAGTTTTCTGGTGGCTTATTGGAGCTAGTCTCAAGGACTTTTGTGCCCAGACTGGCTTTGAACCAGGATACTCAGATCTCAGCCTCCTGAGTAGCTAGGATTACAGGTGTGAGCCACCAGTACTGGGTTTTGCATATGTATTTTTTTGAGCCATGGTCTATATGTTGCCCAGGCTGATCTTGAAAGCCTAGGCTCAAAAGTTTCTCCTGAGCCGGGCGCTGGTGGCTCACGCCTGTAATCCTAGCTACTCAGGAGGCTGAGATCTGAGGATCGCGGTTCAAAGCCAGCCCGTGCAGGAGAGACCGTGAGACTCCTATCTCCAATAAACCACTAGAAAACCGGAAGTGGCGCTGTAGCTCAAGTGGTAGAGCCCTCGCCTTGAGCTGAAGAGCTGAGGGACAGCGCCCAGGCCCAGAGTTCAAGCCCCACGACCAACAAAAAAAAAAAGTTTCTCCTGAGTAGCTGGGAAGACAGCGTGTACCACATGCCCAGTTGTGGGCTCTGTTGAGGTGTTGCGAGTTTGGGTTTGAGTCCAAGAGTGATGTGAATCAGCTGGGGGGGGGGGGGGGGGGAGGAAGGCTGAGATCTGAGGATCATGGTTCAAAGCCAGCCTGGGCTGAAAACTCAGGGAAGAGCTACGGGTGGGATTCCAGCCTGGCTCCTCCTGTGCCCTCCAGGTCCTGGACCGGATCAGAGGATCACTCATGCCCCGGCCCGGCCACAACTTTGTGAGACATCATCTGCGCAATCGGCCCGATTTATATGGTGAACTTGTTTGGCTCTTTGAACTACTCAAGCCCAGCTTGATGTGGGGGTCTGGCCAAGGCCTTGGAGGCCAGGGAGAGGTGGAGGGCTGAGGCTCTGGGATGGGAACGGGCTGAGCTGCAGGCAGCGTAGTCTTTTCTGGGGCGGAGGATCTTCGTAAGGGGTTGCTGGGGTCCCTCTCGCCCCATGGGAAGTGAATCCAGAGGCCCAAGTGTAGGCAGAGAGACGATTTACTGACAGACAGGGGTGGGTGGTCACTGTGGACAGCAGGAGGCGGCACAAAAGGAGGCTGGAAAAGCTCCCGACAGAGGTGAGCAGGGCTTGGGCCCACTGCACCCCAGCAGTAGAGTTTTGCCGTTGGTATGAATCAGAAGCAAGCACATGGGGGCCCCGGAACGTGCAGACAGATGAGCCAGCACAGCCCTGGACCGGACCACCAGGAAGGAGGCTGAGGGGCCTGGCCCGGTCGAGGCTAGCCCCCAGGACTCTGCCCCTGCGCCGCACACAGGCTCCTTCTGGATCTGCGCCACCCTGGCCTTCGTCTTGGCAGTCACAGGCAACCTGAGCTTGGTGCTGGCACAGAGAAGAGACCCCTCCATCCATTACAGCCCCCAGTTCCACAAGGGTGAGCAGGGCGGGCGGGCAGGCTTGGCTCACAGGCCCCCGGGGCGGGGCTGATGGGTGCTCTGTCCCCCCAGTGACAGTGGCCAGCATCGCCATCTACTGCTACGCGTGGCTGGTGCCCCTGGCACTGTGGGGCTTCCTGCGGTGGCGCCAGGGCGTCCGGGAGCGCGTGGGGCCGTACACATTCCTGGAGACCGTGAGCATCTATGGCTACTCCCTCTTTGTCTTCATCCCCACTGTGGTGAGTGGGGCCAGCGGTGAGGGGTGGCGGGTGCTGGGGTGGCGGGTGCTAGGGCACCCCCTCCTGACCCAGTGCTCAGCTGCCTGCGTCTCCCCAGGTCCTGTGGCTCATCCCCGTGCCGTGGCTGCAGTGGTTCTTCGGGGCGCTGGCCCTGGCGCTGTCCGCCTCTGGGCTGGTGTTCACCCTCTGGCCTGTAGTCCGAGAGGACACTCGCCTGGTGGCTGTGGCGCTGCTGTCCACGGTGGTGCTCCTCCACGCCCTCCTGGCCACGGGCTGTAAGGTACAGGCCGGGGATGGTGGTGCAGCCAGGCCGGGCAGGCCTTCTGGCTGCGCACTGACTGGAGGGTCTCTGTGCAGTTCTACTTCTTCCAGCCGCTGCCCGCTGAACACCTGACACCGCCGGCGCCGGCCACATCCCTGTCACCAAACATCCTGTCCCCCGCCACGGTGAAGGTGTGAACGTTCAAGATGAGGCGCCCTCCTTGCTCTGGGGGTGCTCCGAGAATTCCTTCAGGCCGAACCTATGGAGATGACGCCGGTCCTGCTCCCGACAAGGCCCGGGACTCCCTCCATCCCTTGAGACCACTCTGCTACTCTCCAGACTTTTCTTACAAAGCAAACACTTTTATTTTCTATGCAAAGATGATCCAGAGAATTTTTATAAAGGCAGGGCGAGCGGCCGGGCAGGGCACTCGCGGGGAGGCCTGGGCAGCCACGCAGCCTTTGCAGAGGGCAGGCCCGGGCCCCCCCCTTTCCCCCCCTGGCCTGGTCGTGGCCTCCTGCGTTCCCTGACGGGACCCCACGAAGCCTGGAGGGTGGCCCCAGATGGCTGGCCAGCTTCTGAGAGGTGGGGTGCTGGGAGCGAGGGCAGAAGAAGAATACTGCCTGTGCTGAAACATGTTTCCTCGTTTATTTTGCTTTTCTTTCTTTTGTGGGGGGCGGGGGAGGTGGGGGGGGAGGTCCCTGCAAAGGTCTCTTCCCGGAAAGGGGGGGACCTAAATGCCATCATGGTGGTAGGGACTGGAGCGTGTGATTGTGGAGGGAACAGAGAGGCCTATGGGGGGTGACACGCCTTCCATGACACATCCTTGAGGTCCCATCAGCCCAGGGCCGGCGGCGACCTCCCCTCCGGGCCGCCGTTCCCGCTGTCGGTGGAGGGGTCGGCAGAGGAGGCAGGGGCGGGCCGAGGACGGAGGGTCTTCAGATAGCAGGGGGTGGGTTGTACATTCAACTGTGAGGTGAACCCTTTGGTGGGGAGGGGTCCCGTCTGCACTGGGCCACCCCTCCCCACGGAGCCGGGGACAGGGGCTGCTGACTGCGCCGGGCCGGCCGGGCTCTCCGAGGGTCTGTGGATTGACACTGGTTCTTTTCGTAAAAAAATAAAACTAAAAAAAGCAGCATGTCACACCCATGGTGACCACGGTGGCCTGGTAGTTGGAGGAGAGGGCCCGCCGGGCTGAGGCCGCCTTCCCACGGGAGATGGGGGACAGGGGGGACGGGAGTGGAGCCGGGCCGGAAGAGGGGAGAGGGTGGGGTGGGCAGCCGATCCCCTCCTCCGGGCCCCCCCTCCCCAGGCAGAGCGGAGCTGGGGGGAGGAGGGGCTGGCCTGGTGCCCCGGGTACATCAGGGCAGAGCCAGGTCAGGCCGGAGGGCGGGCAGGAGGGGGGTCCCCTCCCCCTGCCGTGATCTGGTGTAAAACGTGGCAGCCACGCGCGCTCGGGGCGGGGGAGGGCGGCGACGGTGTGTAGAAAAAGAGTCCGAGTCCCCATGGCACGGAGGGCGTGGCCGGCGTCGCCCGGGCGTCATTTGGTTTCCTGGTGCGGCCAGCGCGCGGCGCGCCTAGCTCCCGTAGTGCATGGTGTTGGTCGGGATGGACATGGGCGACGCCATGGAGATGGCCGGGCCGCCCATGGTGAACTGGCTGTTGATGGCGTAGTGGGCGCTGGCGCCGCCGCCGCCGCCCTGGGCGCCCGAGGAGCCTGTGGGGCAGGCCGCGGGCACTGAGGGGCGCTGCGCCCCCCGCGCCGGCCCGGCCCCCCGCAGCGAGCGCGCGCGCAGGCCAGGCGGCAGCCCCCCGCCCGCCGCCGCCGCCGCCGGCCCCGCCAGCCCGTTACCTTGGACGATGCCCGTGCTCATTATGGAGCCCATCCGGGAGTGCGTGTGATTCACGATCCCCGTGTTGGCTGCACGGCGACAGGGGAGCGGGGACGAGGGGGCGGCAGAGAGGGAGGGGGAGAGGGGATCGGCGTCACCCCCGCCCGCCCGCCCTCCCGCGACAGAGCGAGGCAGACAGCGCGCGCCCGGCCCCCGCCCGGCCCCCACTCACCTAAAGGAATCAGGTTGTTGTGGCCCACGCCGGAGCCGCCGGCGATAACACTGCTCAGGTCGTAGGCGGCCGGCATGCCTGCGCGGGGGCGGGGCGGTCAGGGGCGGAGCTTCCGCGAGGGGCGGGGCTTCCGCGAGGGGCGGGGCGCGGGGGCGGGGCGGGGACTCACCGGCCACGGCCATCCCACTGCTGAGGTTGTAGGTGCTGCCTGTGTTCCACATGCTCTCCGAGGGGGACGTGTAGTGAGAGCCGGGCGGGGGGCGACGGCGTGGTGCCCGTGTACCTGTGCGGGCACGGGTGGGCACGGGTGGGCAAGGGCGCGGGGCAGGGCTGGGGGGATGGGGCGGGGCATGGATAATGGGCGGGGCCAGCTGGAGGGGTGGGGCATTGGTAATGGGCGGGGCGAGGAGGAAGGGCGGGGCCAGCTGGGAGGGGCGGGGCATGGATAATGGGCGGGGCGAGGAGGAAGGGCGGGGCCGAGCGGCTGGGGCGCCGCAGCCCAGGGCAGGGCCCCTCCTACCTGAAGAAGGGGTTCTTCAGATCCAGAAGGTTACTGGACTTGGAGCCCGTCTGGTCCACCTGGGCCACAATACTGATGTCGTAGCTCTGTCTGTGGGGGCAGGAGGTGGTGTGAGGTGGTGTGGGCGGAATGGACCCCCACCCCACCCCACCCCCGCGGCAGGGCGCACCTTTTGTTGGCAATAAGCAGACATGTCCCTGAGAGCGTGTCCCCGGCCTTGGCGAACAGCGGTGACTGGAAGAGACACCGGACCTGGTACCAGTGGGTCAGGGGCTCCGTGGGGGCCGTGGACAGCCACACGGTCATTCTGTCAGGTACAAACAGGCACATGCTTGCCACCATCCTGCTTGCCTTGAGCTCGCCCCAGATTCCTGCCCCTAGGCAGGCCCAGGCACACACAGGGGCTCACACATGTACCCACGGGGTCCCGGGGCGCCCGTGTGACCAGACGACAGGGCCAGGAAAGAGGGGTATTCAGAATGGGGTAAGGATCCCCACACACACAATGGATCTTTTGCCTGAAAACACTGGCTATTGCATGGGACTCAGGAAGCTGAGGAATGGCACCCCAATGTCCCAGCCCCCACAGCTGGGTTTGGGGTGTCACAGCTGCAGGGAGCCCCGAGGGGCAAGGACAACACGGTCTGCTCTGCGCACTCACATGGAGCCGATGAAAGCAACGTCAAACCAGAAGGCCAGGCCGTGGACCAGCCCTGAGTGCAGCATGTGGAACTTGAATGGGATTTCTATCCTGCAAGGCAAAGGCAGAGGTTTGCCAGGGAGGCCAAACAGGATGCTGGGAGAGGAGAGGCCAGGGGCCCCCTACCCCACCCTGCCCTGGAACAGCAGTATAGCCATGGGTCAGCGCTGGCCCTGACCTTCAGCAGAACCAAGCCCAGGGGTACGGGGCGGGGCCTGCTGGTACCTGGGAGGAGGGGGCGGAGCCTGCTGGTACCCATCCAGGGGCAGGGCCTGCTGTACCTGTGCAAATCTCCTTCTTTGGCTTCTAAGAAGTTCACTGTATACTTGACAGATTTGGCCATCAGGATCCGGATGTCAAAGGTATCCTGGGAGAGACAGAGGTATGATCTGGCTTTTGTCACTGGGGCCAGAAAGAGGAGAGGCCTGATTCTTCTTAGCCTGGTCATGGCCTCGGCTGCACCATCTGCCTAAATGACTCAACCAGATTGCCTTTCTCACACTTGCGAAGGGAGGTCTTGCTGATTCAAGGCAGGGACAGCAACCAAGGGTCAACTCTCAAAATGACAAGTGCTCAGTGGGACGTGGCCAGTACAAGTTAGACATGGTGGCCTGCGCCCATCATCCCAGGTACTAGGGAGGCGTAAATAGGAGGATCGTGGTTCTAGACCAACCAGGGAAAAGTTAAGGAGAGCAGATTAAAGCAGGACTAGGGATTTAGCTCGAGTTCTGGGTGTTATTATTATTTTTTGGGGGGGGTCCAGTCATGGGGCCTGAACTCTGGGCCTGGGCACTGTCCCTCAGGTCTTCAGCTCAAGGCTAGCGCTCTACCACTTGAGCCACAGCACCACTTCCGGCTTTTTTTTTTTTTTTGCTTATGTGGTGCTGAGGAATCGAACCCAGGGCCTCAGGCATGCAAGGCAAGCGCTCTACCAGAGCCACCTTCCCAGCCCCTTGAGTTCTGGGTGTTTAACCTATAGGTGCATACCCATGCCTAATTACTCCACTAATGATGCTGGAAACCATCTAAAGTGAGAGAGCTCTTCTATAAACCACTGTGTGTGCCTAAGAATGAAGAGGCTCTTTATGGGGGGGGGGAGGAATGCAGGATTTTCAAGAGAAATCAGTAAGCAACTTAGCAACAACAGCAAGCTGAGACAGGGGTGCAGAGAGATTTTCTGCTGAGACTGAAGCTCCTGCCAGGAAGTAGACGAGCTGCACAGAATGCAAAGGAAAAGTAATCAAGTGCTGAGCGCAGCCAGGGCTTTGGAGGCCAAGTCCTACTGAGAAGCAGAATACATGGAGGGGGGCCCTTTGCTGTCCTGCATTTTTTTCCTCAGAGAGGGAACAGAACGAGTCGTCTTGGTTCGGCAGCCTCCCTGAAATATGGGGAATATGGAGGGGAAGAAGGGCTCAGGGTTAACAAAGAAGCTAGGAGTATACAAGCCAAAAAAGTAAAGGGAAGTTTGGTGGAGACGTTGTGTGGTGTGGAGGGCCGGGGCCGAGGTTGAGAACCCACGCAGGAAGCCGCTCCTGAGAGAAAAAGTTCAGCATGGTAGGACCTGGGGAAAGCTTAGACAAGGCTCCCTGAGAACTTCCAGAACTCTCCAGAATACTAAGGGCTAAACCAAAGCTGGAAGGCCAAAACTTTGCGCCTTTGGCTGAGGCAAAGCAAAAGAGTAATCCAGCTATCTTTTACTAACACAAACATGAAAGAGATCTACACACTGAAAATACAGTTATTTTCACTTAAATTTGGTTGTTTGTGGTGTATGCCAGTGTTGGGACTTGAAGTCAGGGCCTTGAGCCCCTGGCTCACCTTTTCACCTCAAGGTTGGCTCTCTACCACTTGAGCCACAGCTCCATTTCAGCTTTTCGCTGGTTAACTAAGACTACTCGGACTTGCCCAAGTAGGACAACCTTGATCCTCAAAACCTGGCCCCCAGAGTAGCTAGGATGACAGATGTGAGCCATCAACACCTCAGTTTGGAGTCCTCAAACCTCAGCCTCCCATGAATTTGAGATCACTAGTTTGGGGTCATGCAGAGTTATGGATTGAAAAGTCTTGTGAATATTTCTGCCCAGACAGAAATCCTTCTGCAATCCTCCTGTTTTCAGCCTCCTATATTTACTTATTTATTTGATACTAGTGACTGAACTCAGACACTCACATATGTTGGCTAAGCCCTAACCACTTGAGACTTGCCCCCAAGCCCACTTGCTTAGTAGTTTGTTTTTGCCAGTCCTGGGTCTTGAACTCAGGGCATAGGTGCTGTCCCAGAGCCTCTTGTGCTTAAGGCTAGTTCTCTACCACTTGAACCCTAGTGCCACTTCCAGCTTTTTCTGAATAGTTTATTGTACCTAAGCTGGCTTTGAACCACAATCCTCAGATCTCAGCCTCCTTAGTAGCTAGCATTACAGGCATGAGTCAGCAGCGCCTGGCCCCTAGTTTGTTTTTGAGCTAGGGTCTCACAATAGCTTTGAACTGGCCTAGGACAGTGATCCCTTTTCCTTATCCCAAATAAATGGGATTAGAGGTATACACTGCCATACCTGGCTTTTTAAAGATTCTTTAGTGTCTTTTTTTCCCCCTGGTACTGGGGACCTGAACCCAGGGCTTCACACTTGTTAAGCAAATACTCTACCACTTGAACTGTTTCTAGCCGCTTTGTGCACTGGCTGCGTTTCAGGTAGGCCCTCACTTTACGCCCAGGTTGGCCAGGGCTGTAACCTTCCTACTTGTACTTCCTTGAGTTACAGGGGACAAAGAGTGTGTGCGACTGGTCACGGGGTAGAGATGGAATCTCATGAACTCTCCTGCCCAGGCTGGCCTTGAAGTGTGATCCACCAATCTCTGCCTCCCAAGTGGCTAGAACAGGCTGGAGACACTATGCCAGGGCTTCCTGGGTTTCGTTTTTCTTTAAAGCGGCTATCAAGAAGAACACATATAAACAAAAGCTCTTTAGGAACCTGAGACCAAAATGGGTGTGCAACCCTGTGCTACAGGGAAATTGGGAAATTGCCAGCCAAACATGGGTAAAGACTGTTGCCAAATCTTCAAATATTCTTTGTAGGGTTGTGGTTTATTTTGTTGTTCGTTGTTGTTGTTGTTTGGGGGGGGGGGGGGGGGAGTCAGTCATAGGCCTTTTAGAGCCAGGGTGATGTCCCTGAAGTTTTGTGCTCAGGTTTTTGTTTTTGTTTTTTTGGGGGTGTCCAGTCGTGGGGTCTGAACTGTGGGCCTGGGCACTGCCCCTCAGCTCTTCAGCTCAAAGTGAGAGCAGTACCACTTGAGCCACAGCGTCACTTTCGGCTTTTTTCTTTTTGCTCATGTGGTGCTGAGGAATTGAACCTAGGGCCTCTGGCATACAAGGCAAGCGCTCTACCACTGAGCCACCTTCCCAGCCACAACTGAGATTTTTAACTCAGGACCTCACACATAAACTCTGGCTTTCTTGGCCAGCAGGAATCTACTCCTTGAGTATGGTTATTCTGGAGATGTAAAGTTGTGGCTTTTTCTGCCTGAACTGGCTACATGTGACTAGTAAGATCTCAGCCTCTTCATGAGTATCTATGATTACACATGAGTTACTGTACTCAACAATCTTAAAAAGACCCTTGGTTCCATTTCCAACAAACAAAAAACATAAAAAAAAAAAAAAGGAAAAAAAAAAGTTGAAGTTGTATTCTGGTTGCTCACGCCTGTAATCCTAGCTACTAAGGAGGCTGAGATCTGAGGATCCCAGTTCCAGGCCAGACTGGGCAAGAAAGTCCATAAGACTCTTAGGTCTGGGCTTGGGAAGGTGGCTCAGTGGTAGAGCGCTTGCCCTGCATGCATGAGGCCCTGGGTTCCATTCCTCAGAACCACATAAGCAAAAAAAAAAAAAAAAAAAAACAGCTGGAAGTGGCGCTGTGGCTCAAGTGGTAGAGTGCTAGACTTGAGCTGAAGAGCTGAGGGATAGCACCCAGGCCCAGAGTTCAGGCCCCATGACTGGACCCAAAAAAAAAAAAAAATTATAAGTGAAATTAAGAATTAGCAGCCAGCCGGGGACGAGTGGCTTATGCCTATAACCCTAGCTACTCAGGAGGCTGAGATCTGGGGATCAAGGTTCAAAGCCAGCCTGAGCAGGAAAGGCCATGAGACTCATCTCCAATAAACCACTCAGAAAAACCAGAAGTGGTGCTGTGGCTCAAGTGGTGGAGTGCTCACCTTGAGCTGAAGAGCTGAGGACAGCGCCCAGGCCCAGAGTTCAAGCCCCGTGACAGACAAAAAAAAAGAAAGAAAGAAAAAAGAAAAGAAAATTCACTCAGTGAGTGAAATCAAATCAGCTCCCAAGGGTCACTTCACCCACCAACAGTGGCACGCGTGGTGGTGTCCACAGGGAGGGAGAGGGAGTGGATACTCACCACCACAGGCTGCCGGAAATACTCATCCACAGCAGCACCTCGAAGGGCCGACAGATCGACTCCGTGGAAAGATGGCTGGTACCTGCGGGGAGCCCCACCCCCAGGCCCGCAAGGTCACCAGCAGCAAAGGGTGGCAGGGTGAGTAACCCCGCTTCCTCCCCCAGCTGGCCCTTGTCCAGCCCACCAAGGCGCACTCACCAGAAGTTGGCCTTGGTGAACTGCTCCATGTAGAGCTGTTCATCGGTGAAGGGTGCCAGGTGGACGTCGCCGATGGTGGGGAACATGTTTCCTGGGAGCAGGGGGCACGTCAGGAATGGAGCCCAGGGCCTCATGCATGCAAGGCAAGCACTCTACCACTGAGCCACCTTCCCAGCACAACTCTTTGGGTTTTTGAGTCCTGGGTCAATGTAGCCATTCCAAAAACATAATGGAGTTAGGGAGTGATGGCTCACACCTGTCATCCTAGCTACTAAGGAGAGGTTGAGATCTGAAGATCGAAGTTCCAGGCCAGGCCTGGGCAGGAAAATCCATGAGATTCTTTAACTCCCATGGACCACCCAAAACAAAGCCAGATAGGGAGCTGTGGCTCAAGTGACAGAGCACCAGCCTTGAGGAAAAAAGCTCAAGGATATTGCCCAGGCCCTGAGTTCAAGCCCCAGGACCCCCATACACACATAGTCTCCCTCTCCTTTTCTTTTCTTTTTTTTTGGGGGGGGGGTCCGGTCATGGGGCCTGAACTCTGGGCCTGGGCGCTGTCCCTCAGCTCTTCAGCCCAAGGCTAGCACTCTACCACTTGAGCCACAGCGCCACTTCCGGCTTTTTTCTTATGTGGTGTTGAGGAATCGAACCCAGGGCCTCGAGCATGCAAGGCAAGCGCTCTACCACTGAGCCACCTTCCCAGCCCTCCCTCTCCTTTTCTGGAAGGGATCTGTCATAAGCTTGAACTCTGGGCCTGGGCGCTGTCCCTCAGCTCTTCAGCTCAAAGCAAGCACTCTACCACTTGAGCCACAGCGCCACTTCCGGTGTTCTGATGGCTCATTGGAGATGAATCTCTCAGACTTTCCTACCTAGGCTGGCTTTGAACCTCCATCCTCAGACCTCAGCCTCTTGAGTAGCTGGGATGACAGGCGTGAACCACTGGTACCCAGCTACACATACATTTTTTTTTGGGGGGGGGGATCCGGTCATGGGGCCTGGGCGCTGTCCCTCAGCTCTTCAGCTCAAGGCTAGCACTCTACCACTTGAGCCACAGCGCCACTTCCAGCTTTTTTTTTTTTTATTTTTTCTGCTTATGTGGTGCTGAGGAATCGAACCCAGGGCTCATGTATGCGAGGCAAGCACTCTACCACTGAGCCACCTTCCCAGTCCCCTACACATACATTTTAATGAGTAAAATCAGTCCATCAAACGGACCAAGTCCTGGCTTTCATCTCCACATTGTACACACAGTGGCCCCTGATTTCTGGGGCAGCGGCTGCCCTCAGCAGAGACCCCAGGTCCCGTGGTCCACCACCAGCCGAGGGGCAGGATGGGAGCAGCAGAGTCCTCCTCGAGCAGAGGAAGCAGAGGATGCAGGGCACTCAGGCTGGCTGGGGTCCAGCTGCCCCCCCACCAGCACGGCGGCCACGTGGTCGCCCTTCCCGGGCAAAGAGTGGCAGGGCCTTGTCTGACATGCAGCAGCACCAGGCAAAGCAGCAGAGACCACATTTGCCTCCCATGTGTTCCTCCCAGCATTCCTTCTCTGCAAGGCCGGGGTGGCGCCAAGGCCGGGGTGGGGCGGGGCCTGGGCACTCACCACTGGGCTTCAGGTACTTCTTGGCATGGAGGTAGCTCTCGAGCATGCGCTCATTGAAGAGCATGTAGCCCATGGGCTCCGAGATGATCACGTCCACCTGCTCGGGCAGTGACACCTCCTCCACCTTGCCGGGAATGACCACGATGCGGTCTGTCAGGTTGTTGCTCTTCACCAGCACCTGTGGACGGGGTGGGCTGCGGGATCACAGGGTGCCTCGGCCATAGACACCCTAATATCAGTGTGGGGGGTGGATGGAGAGACTTTGAGGGCCCCTGGGGTGGCAGGAGCCCGCTAGGGGTAGAGACTGGGACGTCAACTTTGCCCATGGGGGCCAAAGCTGGCCCAGGACTCCGGTGTGGGGGAGCCTGTCCCCCACACAGTTGCCCATAGAACAAGGGGCACATAGGTCCAAGACGCAGCACAGCACACCAGGGCCTGCCACACAACAAGGGATGGAGTCTCTACAGGACAAAGACTGGGAACCACTCCATGGCCACTGGCCTTAGAAACAGAGGACAGGGACCTGCTCACGTAGAGGTCACAGATGAAGGACAAAAGGAGGAGGTGGGGGATGGGACCCGGGGCGACACTGACCTCAGCATGTTGGGCCATGGTACTGGCCTCCACTGCATAGATTTTCCTGGCTCCAGCTTGGGCAGCGAAAAAGGAGAGAATCCCAGAGCCACAGCCAACATCTAGAACAATCTGAGGAAATGACACATGTGTGCTAGAACGATGCGCGTGACTCTCACCTGATCACGACACCCAGCACCTGTGCAGAATGCCACGGTGCACCACCTCATGACAGCCAGCCAGCACGTGTCAGAATGCTCAGTCGCCACCAAAAGCCCCGTGCTGACGGCTCACGCCTGTCATCCTAGATACTGGGGAGGGGGTGATATCTGAGGATCAAGGTTTGAAGCCAGGCTGGGCAAGGAGGTCTGTGAGGCTCTTATCTCCAGTGGGGGGGGGGGGGGCGGGGGGAGGGGCGGGACACCACACTGTGGAGAAGTAGAGCTGTGGCTCAAAATAGATAAGGGATGCATGCACGCACATGCACACACGTGCACACACACACAGCATAATGAAACCCATTTAATACTGTTAGAGAATGGGGAGGAGAGGAGGCACACTGTGTGCACGTGTGCACATATCACAGGGAAAGCCTCCAATTGCATGTACAAGGCCCTGCTTCCATCTCCAGCCCGAGGCCTCACATGCGGCGACTGGGGTGGGGGGCTGGGCACCCTGGATCGCTTGTGATATTTGAGCTGTAGATTGTGGTTTTTCTCCATGGTTCCAGGGCCCCCACCATCCCCCAAGCCACATGAAAGAGAATTCCTCCTCTCCAAGGTGGGCCAGAGGAACCTTAAGCTACCAAGAAATTCCAGGGGGAGGAGGGGTGCCCTGCCACCCTCTGTTCTGGAGGGGCAGGGCTCCCCGGAGGGGCGGGGCTCCCCAGAACAGGAGGAGAATCTGCAGAGGCAGGCCTCGCTGGCTTCCCCACACCGTCTCTCCACATTAGAGTCATAACATAGCCCATAAACAGCCAAAAAGATGTCAGGGGCTGGTGGCTCACACCTGTAATCCTAGCTGCTCAAGAGGCTCAGTTCTGAGGGTCATGGTTTGAAGCCAGCCCGGGCCATAAAGTCTGTGAGACTCATCACCAATAAACCACCAAAAAGCCAGAAATGGAGCTGTGGCTCAAGTGACAGAGGCGCATCCTTGTGTGAAAAAGCTAAGGGTGCGGGCAGGACCCTAAGTTCAAGCTCTAGTACCAGCGCATGCATGCACGCATACAAGCATACACACACGAACACAAATCCAAGCAAGCCCTGTTGTTCACAATTATAATCTTAGAAATCCAGGAGGCAGAGATCATGAGGATCTAAGTTCAAGGCAAACCTGGGCAAAGAGTTAATGAGTTCCTATCTCAACCGGAAAAAAAAAAAAGAAAAGTGAACCCATTAATAAGTGCCTATCATAAGCAGCTACTTAGGAGACATTGGAAGCTAGGGTCCAAGCCAAGCAGACAAAAAGCCACACCTGATTCAAAAAATAATGAATGCAAAAAGGGCTGGAAACAGTTAAGATAGCAAAATACCTGCATGGCTTATGGAAGGCCATGAATTCAACTCCACCAAATTAAAAGAAAAATTCAAGCTGTGTGCCGATGGCTCACGCCTGTAATCCTAGAAACTCAGGAGGCTGAGATCTGAGGATTATGATTCAAAGCCAGCCCAGGCAGGAAAGTTGGGGAGACTCTATTTTTTTTTTTTTCCGTCAGTCATGGGTCTTGAAATCTGGGCCTGGGCGCTGTCACTCAGCTCTTCAGCTCAAGGCGAGCGCTCTACCACTTGAGCTACAGCACCACTTCCAGTTTTCTAATGGTTTTTGGAGATAGAGTCTCACAGTCTTTCCTGCCCGGGCTTGCTTTGAACCGCAATCCTCAGATCTCAGCCTCCTGAGTAGCTAGGATTACATTCGTGAGCCACCGGCGCCCGGCTAGGGAGACTCTTATTTCCAATAAACCACCATAAAACTGGAAGTGGCGCTGTGGCTCAAGTGGTAGAGCACTTGCCTTGAGCTGAAGAGCTGAGAGACAGCGCCCAGGCCCAGAGTTCAAGACCCACAACTGACAAAAAGAAAAAAAAAAAAAAAGGTGAGTGACAGATGAGGCCCTAAATTCAAGCCCTAGTACATACATACACAAAACAAAAATTGTTTTAATTCCTGCATAAAGCTTACGTAACTAATTCACTGAAGTATGGAAGCAGTCTCGTGATTATGTTTCCCTACTCTTAACTATGTGAAAATAAGTCTCCAAAAGAGCCAAGGACACCCCAAGAACAAGGTAAAAGTTAAAGTGCTTTTTTTTTCTTCTTAATTTTATGCAAGTCCTGGTGCTTGAACTCAGGGCCTGGCCGCTGTATCTAAGCTTTTGTACTCAAATCTCACACTCTACCATTTGTACTAATAGTGCCACTTCCAGCTTTCCATTTGGTGATGACTTGGAGAACTGAGTCTCACAGACTTTCTTTTATTTTTTTGGTCAGTCATGGGACCTGAACTCTGGGCCTAGTGCTGTCCCTCAGCTCTTCAGCTCAAGGCGAGCGCTCTACCACTTGAGCCACAGCGCCACTTCCAACTTTTTTCTGCTTATGTGGTGCTGAGGAATGGAACCCAGGGCCTCATGCATGCAAGACTGAGCCACCTTCCCAGCCTCTCACAGACTTTCTTGCCCAGTGTGGCTGTGAACCGTGATCCCCAGATCTCAAACTCCTGAGCTATGATAACAGGTGTGAGTCACTGGCCCTCAGCTAATGCACTTAATTTAAGTGACAACTTTACATGTGTGGCAAGGGCGAGTATCTAGCAGAAGTGGGGGGTGTTATGGACGAGCTGAATCCAGCATCCAGAGTTCAATACTGATCAACACCAGAACATTCGTGGTTGTCCTCCAGGGTGGTTTCAGGCTGGGGATGTGGCTTAGTGGTAGTGCTTACTCAGCATACATGAGGCCCTGGGGTTTGATTCCTTGGTACCACATAAACAACAAATTAAAAATAAATGAAATTTTTAAAAAAGTGGGAGGGCAGAGTCCTGGGAACCACAGGCCTGTGAACCCAAAGGGTGTACTGTATGTACAACAATATTTGTCACAATCACAGCTTATAGAGCTGAGGAGGAAAACATGCTCAGTTTTGTTGAAAAACTGTAAGCCAAGTGCCAGTGGCTCATGCCTATAATCCTAGCTACTCAGGAGACTGAGTAGTCAGCCCAGACAGGAAAGTCCATGAGACCCTTACCTCCAGTGAACCACCAAAATTGCTGAAAGTGAACTGTGGCTCAAGTGGTAGAGCACTAGCCATGAACAAAAAAAACTCAGGAATAAATATCCACGAACTCTCCCCCATTTCTACCAATAGTTGGGTACAAGGAGGTGCACCTCTTACCCCAGCTACAAAGAAGGCTGAGACTGAACAAAAATCAAGTCCCTATCTCAAAAATAACCAGAGCAGCCAGGCACTTCAAGTTCACGCGTGTAGTCCTAGCCACGCAGGGAGCTGAAAGACCGGGTGGGGGGATGACTAGAGTTTGAGGTGGGCCCAGGAAGAAGAGTGTCAGAGCCTCCATCTCTAAATGGACAGGCATAAAGCCTGGCTGGAGGCATGGTTCAAGTGGTAGAGCACCCACTGTGAGCAGGAAAGCCAAGGGAGAGAGAAGGAAAGCGCACAGCTGTTGCAGAGCGCTTCACTAATAACAAGTCCTTAGAGTGGAACTCTAGTACTGCCCAGAACAAAAGAGTAAGGAGAAGAAAGGAAGGAGGAAGGAGAGGGAAAGTGTGGGGAGGTGGACACAGATCCTGAGCAATGGCTGGTCCACAGGAGCGCAGGGCTTGGCCTGGGTCTCCAGCGCTGGCAGCCCCCTCGGGTCAGGCATGCTGGCTTGGCGCCCTGGGGCCCAGTGGGCGGGGCGTCGCGAGGCCATGGGCGGGGCACCGTGGGGCCCAGTGGGCGGGGCGGGGCGAGGCCATGGGCAGGGCGCCGTGGGGCCCAGTGGGCGGGGCGTCGCGGGGGTGGGGCGTCGCGGGGGCGGGGCGCCGTGGGGCCCAGTGGGCGGGGTGTCGCGAGGCCATGGGCGGGGCGCCGTGGGGCCCAGTGGGCGGGGCGTCGCGAGGCCATGGGCGGGGCACCGTGGGGCCCAGTGGGCGGGGCGTCGCGAGGCCGGGGGCGGGGCGTCGCGGGGGCGGGGCGCCGTGGGGCCCAGTGGGCGGGGCGTCGCGAGCGCAGGGCCTGCACCTCACCTTGTCTTTGAAATCCGTGTGGTTCTGCAAGATGGCGCGCTGGTAGGTGCCGGTCCGCACGTAGTCCTGCATCATGTTCTGCTGCTGGGACAGGTAGCCATAGAACTGGAACAGAGACACAGCGATGGCACAGGGCACGCGGCGGGGCTGGCTCGGGTACAACCTCCCTCAGGAGGCCCGGAGCCCGCTGGCATCTGATGGCTGCTCGCGGAGGAGGAGCTGGGGGCCCCCGAAGGCGGCCGAGGGCACGCTGCCACCGTCACGGCGCCGAAGGACACAGGGAGACGCTGCCTGGACGAGGAGGCCACCCGCAGGATGGCAAGATCGGCCATCGGTGGGGTGATGGCGTCTGGGGCCACCTGCCCCATCACGGGGCCCCAAAGAAGAAGAGGAACAAGATGGAACAGAACCCCAGAGCTCAGAGCGCCAGGCAGGCAGGTGAGGTGCGGTGTCTCTCTGTAAAACAACAGGCGATCGGGAGGCAGCGAGGCACCTGGGCAGGGCCACAGGCTTTGGCATCAGGCAGACCTGGGCTTCCCATCTTGGCTCTGTTGCATAAGAGCTGTGTGACTTGGACCAAGTCACTTAACCTCTCTGAGCCTCAGTTTTCTCATCTGTAAAATGGGGACAATAACAGCACTTACCTCCTCGCGTTGTTGGGAGGGGCCGAGCGCTTCCGGGGCATGTAAGAGCGCTCAGGCCGGGCCTGGCACACACAGTGCGGGTTCAGGACATGGCTACGGCTGTGGCCTGGGGACCTGAGCTTCCCCCGCACTCAGATCCTTCCAGCAACCCTCTCCACGCTTCACAGATGAGCAAACTGAGGCCTGGCAGGCGGAGGGCACCTGCCCGAGGCTATGCAGCTAAGTATGGGACAGAGCAGCCAGGGCAGGCACCGGGCGTGGGGGCCCAGGGTGGGCACCCCACCTACCTGGAAGTACTGGACAGCCGAGGACTCTTCAGTCCGCTCGCTGAACACTGAGCGCTCCAGCGTGTGCCCACGGCACGTCTTCAGAATGTTATAGAAGGAGCAGAAGTCTGCAAGGGGGGGGGGGGGGGCGGTCACCACCCAGGCGCCTGGCACTGTGGGGTGGGAGGGCATCTGGAGGGGACGGGGCCTTCTGTCTAACTGGAACCCCAGTGACCGAGTGACTTCTTGTCTCCCGGAACTGCTCAGATTTGAGGAAGGTGGCAGACAAAATGTGCGCTTGCGTGGAACGGTGCCATCCGGTGGGGGCAGGCCTGGGCACCCCAAAAAACCAGCGTGGCAGAGCTACCAAGAGCTTGGGCTTGGGATCTGAGTGTTAACTCTCACCAACTAACCCAGATGCCAACGGTGGGGCCTGCACACAGGGAAGACACCCCAACATTTCACAGGGCGGGTACAGCTCAGGTACCCAGAGAAGTACGCCTGCCTGCTCAGGAGGCCATGTTATGTGGACCCCTAAAATGAAGTGACGGACACAAAGAATTCTCTTTCTCTCTCCGGCAGCACAAGGGTTTGTTTGAGCTTGGTTTGGCAGACCAGGGTCTCTCTTTGCCTTTTGTGTTTTTAATCTGGTGGGGCTCAAACTTGCTCTCTCTCGTTCTATGGCTGAAGCTCTATCACCTAAGCCACGCCTCGAACCCATTCTTTATTTTCAAATAGGGTCTCGTGCTTTTGCCAAGGCCAGCCTCCAGTCAAAATTGTTCCACTTTCACGTTCTTTGTCTTTTTTTTTTTTTTTTGTCGGTCGTGGGGTCTGAACTCTGGGCCTGGGCACTGTCCCTCAGCTCTTCAGCTCAGGGCGAGTGCTCTACCAGTTGAGCCACAGCGCCACTTCCAGCTTTTTCTGCTTATGTGGTGCTGAGGAATCGAACCCAGGGCCTCATGCCTGCAAGGCAAGTACTGTACCACTGAGCCACCTTCCCAGCCCATCTACTTTCACTTTCTGAGTAACTGGGATTACAGGCATATACCACCATGCCTGGCTAAAAGCATCACTTGGAAGAAGTTTTTGAGCTGGGTACCAGTGGCTCACACCTGTAATCCTAGCTACTCATGAGACTGAGTTCTGAGGATCACAGTTCAAAGCCAGCCCAGGCAAGAACAGTCCATGAGACTCTTACCTCCAGTGAACCACCAGAAAACCAGAAGTGGTGCTGTGGCTCAAGTGGTAGAGTGCTAGCCTTGAGCTGAAGAGCTGAGGGACAGCGCCCAGGCCCAGAGTTCAGGCCCCACTACCGACAACAACAACAACAACAAAAAAGTTTTTTAGGGGCTGGGAAGTTGGCTCAGTGGTAGAGCGCTTGCCTTGCATGCCTGAGGCCCTGGGTTCGATTCTCAGCACCACATAAGCAAAAAGCCAGAAGTGGCGCTGTGGCTCAAGTGGTAGAGCGCTAGCCTTGAGCTGAAGAGCTGAGGGACAGTGCCCAAGCCCAGAGTTCAGGCCCCACGACGGGACCCCAAAAAAAAAAAAAAAAAGTTTTTTAGATACAGGTTGAAGCCTGGTGTGGTACCACAAGCCTGTAATCTCAGCACTCCAGAAGCTGAGGTAGAATGTGGAAGTTCAAGGCCAGCTTAGACCCTGTCTCAAAAACAAACAAAAAAAACACTGAAAGAACATTATTAAAATATAAGATCATAAAAAATAACAAAGCCAGGCGCTGGTGGCTCACGCCTGTAATCCTAGCTACTCAGGAGGCTGAGATCAGAGGATCGAGATTCAAAGCCAGCCCGGGCAGGAAAGACAGACTCCTATCAAACAGACTCCTATCAGACACCAGCAAACCGGAAGTGGCGCTGTAGCTCAAGTGGTAGAGCGCTTGCCTTTAGCTGAAGAGCTGAGGGACAGCGCCCAGGCCCAGAGGTCAAGCCCCATGACGAACCAAAAAAACAATACAACAAATAAACCCAGAGAGGGGTGGGCTGGGCTGTGGCTCCAGATAAAGCAACAGGTCACTCTGGTGATCTTTCCCACCCACACCTTAACAGGCTGGGAGGGAGGGCACAGAGTGATTGGTAATTTTTTTTTGGGGGGGGGGTCCGGTTGTGGGGCCTGAACTCTGGGCCTGGGCGCTGTCCCTCAGCTCTTCAGCTCAAGGCGAGCGTTCTACCACTTGAGCCACAGCGCCACTTCCGGCTTTTTCTGCTTATGTGGTGCTGAGGAATCGAACCCAGGGCCTCATGCATGCAAGGCAAGCGCTCTACCACTAAGCCACCTTCCCAGCCCTGGTAATGTGTTTTTAATGAGGCCAATGGGGTGGGGTGGGGGGGCTGTTTGTAACTTGGTTCTATTTGATAGCTAGGCTGGTCTCTGCCTCCTAGAGTGCTGGGATTACAGGTGTGCTCCACCACACGGTGCTAGCCACCAATCTCTGATGATCCTTATTCCCAATACACCTGTCAGTTCTGGACCTCAAATCCTCCTTAACTGGTTTTGTTTTTGCTGGTTAGGGGACTTGAACTCAGGGACTGGGCGCTGTCCCTGAGCATTTTTGCTCAATGTAAGCGCTCTACCACTTGAGCCACAGTGCCACTTGCCATTTTCTGGTGGTTCATTGGAGATCAGAGTCTCACAGACTTCCCTGCCCGGGCTGGCTTTGCACCGCGATCCTCAGATCTCAGCCTCCTGAGTAGCTAGGGTGACAGGCGCGAGCCACCGGCGCCCCGCCAACCCTTTGAAAGACATGTTGTTGTTGCTGTTCTTCGGGAAACAGACGCCTCATGACAGAGCCCAGGCTGGTCTGGACCCGTCGATGGCGCCCCCACTCGGCGAGGTACCTACCACTGGGCGTGGCAAACTGGATGAGGACGCTGTTGCAGCCCAGGGTGACGATGAAGGACTGGCGGCCCACGCGGCTGCACTCCGTCTCGCGGGACACTGAGCACTTGAACACACACACATCTTCATCTGTGGGACAGAGCACCCGAGGGCGTCAGCGGCAGCATCCCGGTGGCTGGCTGAACCCACTTTACCCCGCCGTACCCCCGATTCTCCAGGGGATCCCCCAGGCCCACCCTGGGTCCCTCGGGGCCAGTAAGGGAGGAGGAGGACGGGGCTGCTGGGTGATGCTGAATGAGGGAAGTTCTAAACAAGGTGAACCTCCTCTCAGGCTCCAGCACCCAGGAAGCACCACCGTCCTCCCCACCCCCATCTCCATTTCCGGTCACTGCAACTGTAGCCAAAGGATGAACTCCCAACAGTCTGGCCCTGCCACACCACAGGGAGACAGCTCGAGTCTCTGCGTACTATACCACTACTGCTAGTGTTATTATTACTGTTGTCATTATTATTGTTTACTGCTGGTATCACTATCCAGGTTTGAATTCAGGGTCTTGAGCTAGCTGGGCTAGTGCTCTACCACTTGAGCAGAGCCTTCAGCCTGGCTTTTTGCTGGTTCTTTTCAAGATCAGAGTCTCAAGGACATTTCTGCCTCAGCTGGCCTCAAACTATGATCCTCTGATTCTCGGTCTCCTGAATGGCTAGGATTACAGGCATGAGACATCTTGATCCTGGTACTTTCAGAAGAGCTCAAGAGACAACAAATAGCAGGACACAGCACAGTCCTAGAAGCAGCGAGCACACTTGGCCTGTGGCCTGATAGAAAAGATCTTTAAAGCCGGGCACTGGTGGCTCACGCCTGTAATCCTAGCTACTCAGGAGGCTGAGATCTGAGGATCGCGGTTCAAAACCAGCCCAGGCAGGAGAGACCGTGAGACTCTTATCTCCAATAAACCACCAGAAAACCAGAAGTGGCACTGTAGCTCAAGTGGTCTTAGAGCGCTCGCCTTGAGCTGAAGAGCTGAGGGACAGCGCCCAGGCCCAGAGTTCAAGCCCCACGACTGACAAAAAAAAAAAAAAAAAAAGAAAAGATCTTTAAAAGACAGGCCAGGAGCCAGGCACTGGTGGCTCATGCCTGTCATCCTATTTACTCAGGAGACTGAGATCTGAGGATCATGGTTCAAAGCCAGCCCGGGCAAGAAAGTCCACGAGACTCTCTTTTGTTTTTTTTTTTTGTTGGTCGTGGGGCTTGAACTCTGGGCCTGGGCGCTGTCCCTCAGCTCTTCAGCTCAAGGCTAGCACTCTACCACTTGAGCTATAGCGCCACTTCTGGTTTTCTGGTGGTTTATTGAAGATAAGTGTTTCACGGACTTTCCTGCCCAGGCTGGCTTTGATCCTCAGATCTCAGCCTTCTGAGTAGCTAGGATTACAGGCATGAGCCATCGGAGCTGGGCGCCCAGCTCCGTGAGACTCTTATCTCCAATAAACCAGTAGAAAACCGGAAGTAGCACTGTGGCTCAAGTGGTAGAGTGCTAGCCTTGATCTGAAGAGCTCAGGGACAGCGCCTAGGTCCAGAGTTCAAGCCCCACAACTGACCAAAATAAATAAATATAAATAAATAAATAAAAGCCAGGCCAGGTGCTGCAATCTGAACTACAGGAGGCTGAGATCTGAGGATCAAGTCTAAAGCCAGCCCAGGCAGGAAAGGCCTAGAGATTCTTCTCTCCAGTTAACCACACAGAAGCTGGAAATGGAGCTGTGGCTCCAGTAGTAGAGCACCAGTCTTGAGCACAAAAGCTCAGGGACAGAATCTAGGGCTCCAAGTTCAAGTCCCATAACTGGCACCCAAAAGTTTATAAATAGAATAATGGTCTGGGAATGTGGGTTTAGTGGTAGAGTGCTCGCCACCTAGCATACATGAAGCCCTGTGTTTGATTCCTCAGTACCACATATACAGAAAACTGGTGCTGTGGCTCAAATGGTAGAACTAGGGACAGTGCCCAGGCCCTGAGTACAAGCCCCAGGACTAGCGGGGGGAGGGGGGGGGGGAGTTTTCAAATACAACAAGAAAAATCTCATTAAATTGTTCTAAGAAGGTAGATCACATTATATGCTTGTATAGAAATATCCCAACTCATGTAAGCCAGTGAAATGATCACAAAAGCAACTTAAGTTTCCAATCCCTCTCCATCGCCAAAATGATCAGGAAATAGAACAGAGTTGGAGGAGTCACGCTTCCCAATCGGAAAATGTACTGCAAAGGAATGAAACTGTAGTTCTGGCAAAAGAACAAACAGATCTGTGGGATAGAATCAAGAGTCCAGAAATAAACCTTCCTATTTAGGGTCAATTGATTTGACAAGGATGCCAAGAACACTGCATAGAGAAAGAACAAGTCTCCTCAACAAAGGACAATTAGAGACCTAGATAGCTATACCTGGAAAATGAAAAAAGTAGCGCGCTGCTTCACACCATAGCAAACCAGGGCTAAACATGGTTAAAGAACTAAACACCAAAGCCGGGCGCTGGTGGCTCACGCCTGTAATCCTAGCTACTCAGGAGGCTGAGATCTGAGGATCGCGGTTCAAAGCCAGCCCGGGCAGGAGTAGACCGTTGAGACTCCTATCTTCAATAAGCCACCAGAAAACCGGAAGTGGCGCTGTAGCTCAAGTGGTAGAGCACTCGCCTTGAGCTGAAGAGCTGAGGGACAGCGCCCAGGCCCAGAGTTCAAGCCCCACAACCGACAAAAAAAACAAAAAGAACTAAACACCAGAGCCAAAGCTATCAACTCTCAGTAGTCAAAACAGGGGGCTAAAGCTTTTGAGCCTTTGAATTAAGCAATGGATTCCCAGCTGTGAGATCAAAAGCAGCGGCAATGAAAGACAAAAGCATACACTGCACTTGGTCAAAATCACAGGACGAGAAGGACCACTTCCAAAGTAGCAAGAAGCTGGGCACTGGTGGCTCACGCCTGTCGTCCCAGCTACTCAGGAGGGCTGAGATCTGAGGATCATGGTTCAAAGCCAGCCTGGGCAGAAATGTCTATGAGACTCTTATCTCTAAAGAACCATCCGAAAACCATAAGTGGTGCCATAGCTCAAAATGGCAGAATATCCCTTGAGCACAAAGAGGCTCAGGGACAGCGCCCAGACCCTGCATTCAAGTCCCATAGCCAGCAACAGAAACAACAAAAAACATGGGCAAGATGGCCAAGAAAAGCCCCCCCTCATCATTTCTGTGCCAATACTGGGGCTTGAACTCAGAGCATCATAATCTCCCTTGGCTTTACAGCTCAGGGCTGGTGCTGAGCTACAATTCCAACCGGCATTTTCCTGGCTAATTTGGAGATGGAAATCTCACACACCAAAGGGCTTCAAACCTGGATCCTCCGGTCTCAGCCTCCTGAGTAGCTAGGATGACAGGCGGGAGCCACCAGCACCAGAGTAAGAAAGAAAGAAAAAACAAGGACACACTCTGGAGGCCTGTGCTTTTAACTACTGACAGGAAGCATCAGGACACCTGTGGCAACCTAGACGAAAGTCAGAAACATCTAGAGCAGAGAAAGGCAGACACAAAAAGGTCACGCGGTGAATGAGTTTCCTTCTCGGGCCGGCTGGGAGGAGAAGGCGGCATGGCACAGGGGCTGAGCCGAGCTGGCGGCCAGGGGCAGCGGGAGGCGGCACGAGGGGCGGGGCTCGGGGGTGTGGGGTTTCCGTCCAGCCTGATGACAAGGTTTTGGAGCTAGAGAAAGGTCATGGTTGCACAACACCGTGAATGGGCTACGAGCCCCAGAATTTCACACTTGAGATGATCTGCTTGAGGGTAGGTGCCTACAGACACCCACCAGCCCTTGGGTACCTGCCCCAAGAGCTTTGGGGGGTTGGGGTACACATGGAGGCAGGGCCAGATTTCCTCCCCTCCCCCCCCCCCCCCCCCCCCCCCGGCCAATGGTGCCCGTGTCCACACCCCTCCTAGGCCAGGAGATAAAAAGTGATCTGGCCACAGACAGCAGAGGCCTGTTTACAAGCCGGGCAGCCTGGCAACCCAGCTGGTTGCCCTGGGTGCCCCTCTGCAGCCTGACGCCAGGCTTGGGCTGAAGGGCCGGGTTAAAGGCACCCCCCCCCCCCCCCCCGCTCTGCTTCCAAGGCCCTGTGAGAGCCACCAGGAACTAATGAAGGCATGATGAGGAAAGTGGGGTGCAGGAGACAGGACGAGGAGAGTCCACAAAGGGCCAGAGGCTATGAGGGTCCAGCCAGGGAATGACAGGGACTGAGCAGCATGGCGACACTAAGGCTAAGAGGAGGCCCACTGCCTGCCTGCCCGCCTGCCATCCCGGCTGGGGACAACGGCATGAAAACCAGGCGCCTCCAAAGGTAGCAGCTGCTCAACTACCCACACCCCCACATCACAAGCACCCAGGGCCAGCCACGGGCCAGGCCTTGACCTCCCCCCATCCCCCCCTCGGGCCCCTCTATTCTCTTCACCAAAGCTTGCACAAGTTAAGGGTCTCTTTCAAAGTCACCCAGCAAGAGGGGGGCTGGAGTACTGGCTCCAAGGTCACCCCTCCGAACTAGTGCACCCCAGGATTTCTCTGTGATCCTACAGCAGGCTTTGGCCAACTTTCTCTGCAAAGGACCAGGCAGTAACTATTTTCAGCTTTGCTGAGTGCAGCTCAGTAGGAAACAGCTTGTCTAGATCGTACAAGCCCCTGGGTTCCATTCTTGGCACAGAGGGGAGGGCCAGGTGACAGTGACTCACACCAGCAATCCCAGCTAGTAAGGAGGCTGTGATCTGAGGACCCAAGTTCAAAGCCAGCTCGGGCAGGCAAACCCATGACACTTATCTTCCATTAGCCACTAAAAAGTCAGAAGTGGAGCTGGGACTTAAGTGGTAGAGTGCTAGCCTTAAGAAAAATGGCCTTCCCGACAGTATAACCCCTGCTTTCACTGTATTTGATGTTGGTATAATTTGTGGAGGGGAAGGGAAAAACAAATCGTTTAAATAGGGATCAGGTGGACCCATTGCAACAATGAGATGTACAAGTCGTTATGTTGAAAACGAACTTTACAACTTTGGTGGGGGGGGGGGGAGAGGGGGAATGAGGATTGGGGGGGTGGGGGGAGGCTGGG